GTCGATATTTTGAAGAACCCTTCTTAAGACTGGCTTTTAGCCGAGCAGCCCTCCAGCAATCCGGGAGTTTTCCGGTGGTCATACACAAATTAAACAATTCTACAACGGGTGTCGTAAGGTGTTCAGCACAGGTTTTCAGTAAGATAGGAGATGATGAGTCCGGTCCATGGGCCTTGTTTGACTTAAGTTGCTTCAAAACGTTGAGAACCTCAGTCGGAGAAAAAGAGTTGGTGTTTTCTGGAGAATCAGAAGCAGACAGCAGATAATTGGAACCAGATAAAGCAGAAAATTGTCGGTTTAAGTTTTGTATGTCAGGACGGGAGCTCCCACATGTGCCACAGAGTTACTTCAACGCCAACCACATCTCGCAACAGCTCTGGTCGCCCAAAATGGTCTCGACATACATTCGATTCAAGCACTGAATCTGGACCTTGAGGATAATCGATAGTCGTATAACACCGTGGCTGCTGCCATTTATATATATATGCCATCTTCTTATCACGTCGAAGACGTTTTAGGGGAGATATTGAAAATCTCTCGGTACGGATATATTTATTGTCTCGATCGGGCAACACAAGTCATATCATAAATTAAGGTAGTCAGTGTGATGTTCACATCTGGACGAATTATTAGAATTGGAAAAGATGGAAAAATCGATTGAGGAGATCATATCTTGGAGTCGAGGTAAGTTTTTCATGGGTAAAATTCCTCCTGCCTATTGTTCGGGATGCTACATGTGATTGTTGATGCTGAAACATTTTACCATAGATTTTTGGGTGCAAAAGAATTGTACAGTGGTCGGACGTACTGATAGGGGCTCGTTTTTACATACAGAAGGTATCTGGGTTATTTACAAAAATGTCGTCAAGCTGGGCCTCCAAACGAGTGGGAAAATGCACAAGAAAGAAATATTGGCACGAATAAAAGCACCGGCCACGATACATAATGGCTGGTCTAAGCCTGTCACGAATTGTGTCGAGAAAGAGCCGGAAAACATTCGGATGTCAGAAGTGCGCAATGTAAATGTATACTAGCATGATATGATGAAATTTACTAAGAAAGTAAGGTCTACACTGAACGACAATGCAGTTGATTTTTCTAGTATTAAAATGAAACAGAAAATGAGAATTGTTACATCATACGCGGTTGACAAAAGTAACTTCTCCACCATCTCTTGCATTGAAATTCACAGTCCGATCATCTCGAAAGCTATCAAATCTATCAAGTCGGACAATACCGTTCTCAATTTCAGCATGCAATCAACTTTCCTGGAGCGTAATAATTCAAACGTTTTTGCACACGTTTTCACGTAAAAATATCTCTTCATTTCATCAACGTTTCCCAGAAGTGAGCGGATGTTACCGAAAATACTACAGGGAACAATCAATGTGTTGTTGGAACACCATCTGAGAACGATCATCCGAACAGCACGACGTTTTAGTTGTTGTTCATTATCCTTTATTTCTAAATCGGTCGCAGCGATTTGTGCACACAATGCGCAAAACATGAAAATTGGTGTTCAAACGCGATAAAAATGGAAAGCGACATCATAAATGTGCGGATGTAGGAAAATTAAATGAATTCATTTGATAAATAATATTGAGGAGAGAATACAATTATCCACTATAAAAACGCGAAAATATCATATGATAGTTTTAGGCACGGTTGAATTTGAAATCCCCGAATCTAATCCTCTTTTCGAACCGAACTCTGTGACTCTATCTCTCTCTTTCTCCCTCTCTCTCTTTCTCCCTCTCTCTCTTTCTCCCTCTCTCTCTTTCTCCCTCCCTCTCTTTCTCCCTCTCTCTCT